GGGGGGGGTTCTCTTCTAAGAGCCCGTCGTCACCAAGGAAGGGGGCGGCAGAGGCCACTATGCGCTTTCTTTGGCAGCGCAGAGTCCTTCCACCACCAACACCACCACCAGCCAGGCGGCACGGAAAAGAGAGAGAGAGGGGGGGGGGTGGGGGAGAAGGAGAGTCTTTCTTTCGTGTACGACAAACACCTCCTACAAGATGACGACGCCGCCCCGCCCAGCCCCGGCTCAGGCCGTTATACAGCGCAGGGGCCGACGCGCCACCCCGGACCCGCCCCTCCCATCCGAGTGCAGCAGACCGGGCGGAAGGGGCGCGTCTGCGTCTGTGTGTGTGTCGCACTGCTTCATCGCCACCAGGACCCTCCCGCACACACGCACATACACACGCACACGTCCACGTTCACACTCTCTTTGCTCTCTATTGACCATCAAGGCATTCCCGCCGGCAGCCTTTCTCCGAAGAATGTCGCTCTGCTGAAATGCCGTGCAGGGGAGAGGCAGGAGGGAGCAGCGGGCGCCACGCTCTTGTCAGCGCCACACGGTCAGAGGGAGAGAGAGAGAGTCCTGGTCGCGTACGCGTCACTTGATTCTCTCTCGCAGTGTCGTTCAACCACTGCTGTTGCACTCGCACCGACTGGAAAAGGGAGGGAGAGAAAGTGGTCCCACCTGAAGCGGCGCAGACGCCGCCCCCTCTCTTGCTCGCCCCTTTGACGTGCACTTCTTCTCGCACTACACCTGATGGCTCCCCGCCCCTCTCGCCGTGCGCGTGTATCCTAACGCTCTCTCATTCATTCGCACAGTCTCTCTATCTCTCTCACACACACGCGGGCGCGCGCGCGCGCAGGCAGTTCAACGGGGGTGTTTCAAGAGCCTGCTGCTCCTAGGATATTAATTCTGACCGAGGCTGTACCTCGCCGGCCCGGCGGCCCCGCGCGGGGCTGAGCCCGTGTGCCGGTGCCGGTGCGGGCGCCGGCGGCTCCGGCTTGAGGCATAACTTTGAAACAATGCGCGGGCTGGCACGGTATTGGCTGCTCTGTACGAGTTTCCATCGGAGGGGACCCCCCGCCACGCCACGCCCCGCCAAGCCCCGCCACGCGCCCCGGCGGCACGGCCTTCCGAGTTTGGAAATTCACCAGGTATTTTGATAGGCGTTATACATTACGTTGCCACAACTTAAGGCAATAAGGGTTTCCGGTTGGAGCGAGCTCGGGGGAGGGGGTGCAGCAA